TCAGGCAATGTTCACTGGCGGTCTGAAAGAATGTGACATGTCACACGTCAAGCTTCAGGGTGTTTGTCCCACAACACTAGCCCGTATTTTGCAATTTATGTACACTGGTATTATCAGAGTTACTGAAGTTACAGTTTGCCAACTTCTTCCTGCTGCTACTATGTTCCAAGTAACTGATTTTAAATTTCAAATTTCTATTTTATTTTTAAATGTCAGCACCCTTATTCGTTTTCTTTCTTGTTTTGCATACAGGTTCCTGATATTATTAATGCATGCTGTGTCTTTCTTGAGAGACAACTTGACCCTTCCAATGTTATTGGAATAGCAAATTTTGCAGAACAACATGGTTGTAAGGAGCTACATGAAAAAGCTAACCAATTTATTGAGCAGCATTTCACTCAGGTAAAGACTTGATACAATAAGTAAACTTAAACTGATACTGCGTTTTCATTTGCAAATGATCAAATTATGTCAACACATTGATTGTGGCGGGGGTAGGCGATCCTATGTTATTGGGACCCACTCTGTAGGTCACACACCGCCCTCAACGTCCTAAAATTACATATAGTTTCAAATATTTTGATTCTAACTATACTTTTTTAAACAGTTCATTTTTTCATTTTTATTTTCAGATTTGTCAAGAAGAAGAATTTTTCCAACTCTCGGCTATGCAGCTGGTGGCCTTGGTTAAAAAAGATGCCCTCAATGTTCAGGATGAGCAAGATGTGTACCAAGCTGTACTTCAATGGGTGAAATATGATGAAGAAAATAGAAGACCAAAAATGGAACATATTCTGCAAGCTGTCCGATGTCAATATTTAACTCCTGCATTCTTGTCAAAACAAATGAAAAGTTGTGATCTCCTCAAAAAACTCCCACAGTGCCGGAAATACTTAGCACAAATATTTAAAGTGAGTTTTTTCTATCTTACAAGTGATTTGTAGTTTCAGTAACATCATATACTAGGAAACATGGGATACATGTTACATATATCATTTTTTCCAGGACATGACTTTGCATAAAAAGCCATGTGTCAAGGAAAGAACACCAAACACTCCACGTGTTATATACATTGCTGGTGGGTACCTTCGGTATTCTTTAGACATTCTTGAAGCTTTCAATGCTGATGACAAGACATGGACTCAGCTTGCAAAACTGACAGTTCCTCGGTCTGGATTAGGTGGAGCTTTTCTTAAGGTCAGTTGTGAAGCGTTACCTTTAGTATGCAATTGCTGTGTGGTCTGCATGAAAATCCAATTTCTTTTCTTATTTTTTTTAGGGAATGTTTTATGCTGTTGGAGGGCGAAACAATGCCCCAGGCAGTAGTTATGATTCTGACTGGGTAGATCGCTACCACCCTGTCTTGGACCAATGGCGACCTTGTAGCCCCATGACTACTCCTCGTAATCGTGTTGGCGTAGCAGTGATGGATGGGTATCTGTATGCTGTTGGTGGCTCTTCCGGAAGTGATTATCATAGTAGTGTAGAAAGGTATGAGTTATTTTGAGATAAATTTGAGCTTTGAGTATTAAAATTGAAAACTGATTTACTTGTCTTCTTCTTATTTTCTCTATATTTAAATAGGTATGAGCCAGATGAAGATAGGTGGACACTAGTTCGCCCTATGCAGTACAAGAGACTTGGTGTGGGAGTTGCTGTAGTAAATAGAATGTTGTATGCAATGGGAGGGTATGATGGAATTAATAGGCTAAACAGTGCAGAGAGTTACCATCCAGAAAATGATGAGTGGACACCTATTTCTCCCATGCATGTTGCCAGGAGTGGAGCAGGTTTGTGTTATTTTAATTTCAACTTTCCAGTGATTTAATAATGACTTCCTCTAAAAATTTGTGTTATTTTTATTTGTTTTCTAAGGTGTTGCTACCCTGAACAACTGTGTGTATGTTGTTGGGGGTTATGATGGATCAAAACAGTTAAACTCAGTGGAATGCTATGACACTGAAAAGGATACATGGGAGTTCAGGGCACCAATTAGAATATCACGCTCTGCTTTAAGCCTAACTGTTTTGGATGGAAAATTATATGCGATGGGTAAGCCAGCATGATAAAAATAGGATTTTTCATTTTAATCTTGTGTGAATTTTCTCTTACAGTGTTCTTATTTTTTAGGTGGTTATGATGGTACTTCATTCCTTTCGATTGTTGAAGTGTATGACCCTACAAAAGATGTGTGGGAAGAAGGTGAGCCCCTCACATCTGGGCGTTCTGGCCATGCTTCTGCTGTGTCATTCCATCAGTGTGTTATTCATTGTGATCAACATGAACATTCTCTCAGCACTGAGTCCTCATTGGGTTGGTGCAGTACACGCCCAAGTAGCACTCTAAGTGCCTTAGCTGGTAGTGCATTGAATGGTGCTGTACCAGAACCGCGGACTAGTGGTGTAGGTGCAGTTTCAAATTCCCTTTCAGCACCTGGAAGAGGACTGCCAGATGGATCAGGACCAAGCCTCCCTTATGGACCGTAAGGTTGAATTTAGTGAAGTCAGCTAGCCCCTTTGTTACTTGATCTGATCTGTTTTAAAGTTATCTATGAAATTCCATTGTTATTCTATTGAACTCATTGATATGTGCTCTCAAACACACTGTATAAGAGTTATATTTTTATAACCTCCATGATTTAGACCATTTATGTATTAGTCCAGGTTGTAAATACCTACCTTTATTCCTTATTATAAAGAGTTTCATATGTCACTCTTAATCATTGTTTGTTTTTTATCAATTAACTTAAGGTTATTATAATGTTGTAGCCAAAGTTTAAACCTGTGATATTCTCATGAAATTTTGTGTGTGTGAGATATAAGTGTGTTTCTGCTGCTCTCAAGATATTCCTGTGGCTCCAGAACAAAACATTTTATGTACCTAGAATTTTAAGGTCAGAATTTTTTTAGCATTCGACTGATATCTGTAAAACTAATTTACTGCATTTACATTCTCTACAATGTTTAAATTTGATTATTATTTTTTTACCGGGTTGTTTTTATCCCTGCCTACCTCTTTCTCTCAAAAAGAAGAACAGGGAACTAACGACGATTATTATTTTTTTTTTTTTGTGAGATTCCATGAGTTGTACAAGGATACTCGAAATCTTACCAAAAAATATATATGAGTGCTAATGTGCCATGACAAGTTCGTTAGTGGTCTTGTTTTTTCACCTACTTCAACCTTTTAAAAAAATATTGTACAGTCTAAGAATACTCAAAAGTAGATTCTATAGTATGTTTTTGGTATGCAGTATTAGTACGATCATGCTCTTTCATGTGTGCATAATACAGATTCAGGTAATTTTTGTGTATGATTTATTGATTGTTTTTGTTTATAGTTTCCCAATGTTTTGTTTCTGCAAAGCTTTATGTAATTGACAGAATGCAACTACAACCCAGAACTTTTTAGTGGTGTTGTGCTGTTGCGCTCTGACAATTCCATCAAATTTCTGGTACAAGACTAAGTAAATAAATGAATGTCACTTTTCATATATAGTAATGCCAAGGCAAAGCTAGATATGGAGTGGTGAGAAAGACAAATGGTTGCACTTAGGCTCTGCTACTTTCTCTGAAGTTGTTTACCTGAAATTTGTGCACGGCTGATGGAGAACTCTGTAGACATTGTCTATTCCAGTCTATTACAAATTTATTAATTTAGGTGACACCAATATTTTGTAATGAGTAAAAATACCTTGAGAAACATTCATCCATAAAGTGCGTAATGCTTAACTACTGCACTAATTTGTCAGGTCAGGGTATTGGATTGCCACTTGACTTCAGTGTAGTAGAACAATTTGATTTTAATTTAATAATGATGAAATATGTTTTTGTATCTGTAAAAGTCACAGCAGTAGAAGATTAAATATTTATTTACTGTTCACTTCTGTTTTTCACCATTCAATCTCCTGGTTCTTGGTATAACCATACCAATAAAAACACAGCAGAATTTCTACATATAAAATTAATTTTATTTCAATTTCTATCATACCATAAAAGAATAAATGTACAGCAAGCACTAAAGACAAATAAAAAAAATAAGCATAAAAAAATTATTTTATACTACGTCTGGATACATACGAGCTAAGGCCACAACATGAACGTGATGCAGCTGCTACTACGATATAACTTAACTAAGGTAAATACATAAATTCCCCCACCTACATAAATTATTACATATGATCACTTCTCTTATGTAGCTTTATTAATTGAAGATTGACAAAATCAACTTTGTTAGGTGGCCTTACTGTCTGTCATGTCGAGCGCAATACGTTTACCATATTTGGTTAGCGTCTTTCCACCTAACAGAGTGAGTTCAAACTACACATTTGCACATTTGAAAACACTTCCTTGGCACTCGAAAAACAAAAAAGGCAACCGGACAGGCCAGCCGGTGGTCGCGCTACTTGTCAGGCCATCCTTTCAAGGGTGGTTTCAGATGAATGAAGAATCAATACAGAAAATTAAGATGTAAACAATGCTGTTCAGAAGAAATAAAGAAATTTTTTAAACTCAAAAAACCTAATCTGTTTCTTACATAAAAGGGATATTATTTTTGATTGCTTTAACAATAATCTGTCATACTCAAATAAAACAAAAATACAAAAAATTACAATTCCAGTTCAATAGCATGCTAGATTTCAAACAACTATGTAATGTTCCTAACACTCTCACAGCCAACAATTTGATTTCACAATATATAACAAGTGTAAAACTGATGTTGGTAATTCAGTTAATTTGTTGAGCACATGTCTTACTTCACCTTCTTTCCAATCAAATTTTCAAGGCTTGTGCTTTTGATTAACAAACTCCTGAAATGCAGCAGCGATTTCTGCATTTTCATTTTCATTCGCTTCTGGATCCCATACAGTTGCATCATCGCTAAAATGAAAGAAATTGAACAACGGTGAGAAGAGGAAACAAACAAATAAAGTATTATGAAAGACAAAAGCCTAGGCAGATTTACCTAGAAGAGACAGTTTCTTCTTTGCCACAACTGTCATCCAAAAATTTATATTCTTCGGCAGTCAGAGCAAGGTGGTCAGGGCCATAATATATTCCGTCAGCATTCTGTGAAAATAATAATGAATTAAGAGTTAACTTTTTTCTAGAACCATTACAAAAAAATAGTTTTAGACGAATGTAAGACATTTCCTTGAAACTTTACCCAAGTCGGTTCAGCATCTACATGTCTTGATTGCTTTGGAGGGATCACAGAACTTGGAACATGACCCCAATTATTGCTTCGTAACTTTAAAAGATTACTAACAATATCTTTGGCACGTGTTCCAGCTCTTTCATCCAAGAGCAATTTATCAAACTCAACGAACAATTCATTCATCACTTCTCGTTGATCACAATCAAGCATATATCCAGTCAACTAAATAAAAATTTTGAGTATTAGAACAACATTTTGTTGACCAGACGCACAAATAAAACACAGGAGTTCTCACCTTCAGAACGGCACAGCTATGTTTAATATTTTCAATTTGGGGGATTTGAATTAAAATTTTCAAGGCTAAGATTAATCCATCACCTAAAATAGTTATTCTAACTCCTTTATGAAGCTCAAGTTGAATATAGAGCTCTCCCAAAAAATAAAGGAAACCATAAACTTTATCCGGATTGTTTTCCATGTTATCTTCAATTTTTTCGTGCTCTCCATTTAACCTGGTATTTTTAAAAGTTCATTAGGAATCAACCTCAAAATTAACCTTTTGCATAAGAGAAATCTAGAATCATATCAAAATCATACTTTGTTAACAAAATTCTTCGAAACATTGAACTCTGCTTGCTTGATGAGTACTTGTTAATTAAATTGCAAAGCCTTGCACCACTGTACCTAAAATTGGGCTCTTTAATTGCCTGAATTTTTTGTTAAAAGAAACAAATAATTAATGATTTTTCACAAATAGGACATACAAGTAAATTGTAATAAAACCTGACCTGGTCAATGATTAGTGAAACAATACTTTCAACCGCCTCTTCTTCACCAAATATAGGTCTTAGTTCATCCATCAACGCCCTTGACAAAGGGTCAAATTGACCAGGATTAAGTGTTATATTTCTTATTACATCAGTCACATATTGATAAAGCCACTGTAGGAAAAATACGTCCACATAATAGGTTGTTGAATCGAATGAAACAGATACTGGTTGAAAGGATCCCAAATCGTAACCCACCTCCTCAAAAGATACATCAGAGTCCTCTTCATAAACAGATTGTTGTTCATCTTTCTCGCTTTCATAAGGAGAGAGTGCCTAGATCAGCACAGGGGTAAAATGATGGATTAATTTAGATTGTATATTGAAATATGGTTTGAACAGTGAACTGAAAACAGAATTACCTGAGTGTTGGCAGGTAAAGTACACGTAAAACCCTTTGGGACAAACTCTTTGGCATTGACAGACAATTTAGATTGAAAGGCAACAGCCAATGGATCTAATGTCTCATCTTTGAGCGTTGTGCTAGAACTCGATGACTCTGGAAAGGCAATACACTACATGATACTAAAGCTTCTACATATCCACAAAGGAAACAATACCTATAAAATATAATAAAATATGACAAATGTCAAACTGCAGTGGTTTGGTATTTAATAAGATGAAAAAAATGAGGTCATGTGAAAACATAGATACACTACGATAACCTACCGGACTGAACCGAAGGCATTTGCGGACGACGGAGCTCATGAACTTCCTGATCAGGGCGCCAAGGACCTCGCCCTCTTCCCACGGCTTTGACAGCTCCGTTCGAAGGATTCATCTGAAAGAGAAATTAAAAACTTGGAATCCAATCGGAAAGCCCAGGTGTCAATAACCTATATGTCAAACATTACATTAACTGCGTCATCACTCACAATTTTCACTTACTTCCAGTGTAATTATCTTATGTGCTCACCAAGAGAAGGAAAACTAACCTGAAAGAAGAGGACCTATACAGCCGATAAGCCAAATTGAAAGGCGACTCTTCAACTACTTCAATCTAGCAAGCACAATCACAATCCCATTCAACGATCGGAGGCCCGCTCTGTTATGTTGTTTGTTGATGCTGTCTGTATGTTTACAGGCAAACCTGACGCAACACTTAGTAATAGGATGCTGATTGGAAATTCAACGTTCTTTTCTGGTGAAAATTATAATAAAATATAAATGAAATAACCCTTTCAGCCCTTTCATTGGAAATCTATTACATTGCCATTCTTTTGAAGCTCTACTCAAACTTTCACATCCCGAGGTTGCCTGTTTGGCTCTCCCTCTTGGGGATTCCACAAACAACAGATTATAGGTTAGGCAACCCATCGTACACAACAAACCACAAATTTTGCACCGAAATGAATTGTTTTTATCACACTTTTCTTGGCGTTCTTCAATAATTTGTATGCAGATCTTGCCTCAACTGTAAAATTTACTCGTTTATTGTGGTTTCTAGACAGTGACATTCAATAGTTCTCTACAACTTTCATGAGTATCTATGCTCAGAACACCTTTTTTTTTAGAAGTCTATGTATGTAAATGGTGGTGAATTATGAATCAGATGAAATCATTCGCGGGGACTTTGGTTCAGCAAAAGAGGAAGACTGTTCTGTTCTGGTCAGTTTTTTGGGCTGCATTTGCGTTTTGAAACCGGATCCAAAAACACTATGAGTAGAAGTGAGGCAGTAAGCGCGACTATCGGACGTGGCACTGGAAACCCAAAACGAGTTTTCCTATTTAGTGGTAAAAGGAAATGCGGCAAAGATTACATCACTGATTTACTTCTTGAAAGGTGAAGGTCTCTGTTGAAGAGTGTGCTAGTTGTGTTTTTGGTGTTTTCTAATTTTCCTTTTTGCTTTGAAAGGATTGGAGAGGAGAATACTGTCATCATTAAAATATCATCCCCAATCAAATCTCATTGGGCTGAAGAGAAGGGCTTGGACCTTCATAAACTCATGAGTGCAAACCAGTACAAGGAAAATTTTCGTCAAGACATGATAATTTGGAGTGAATCTGTACGAGCAAAAGACCCTGGGTACTTTTGCAGAAAAGCTGTAGACATGTACAAAGGTAACATTAAAAGTCAATTAATTTCTACAGACTGATAAACTGCAGTTATTTAATTAATAAAACATTAAATGGTATAGCCCAAGAAAAACCTATATGGGTTGTGAGCGACATCCGACGTAAAACTGATATTAAATGGTTTACCGAAGAGTATGGTGATGCTGTTCGAACCGTTAGAGTAGTGGCTGATGAAAGTGTCCGACAAAGACGCGGATATGTCTTCACTAAAGGTAATATGCTGGCTGCTGATGCCAACTGCAAATTCAAATTATTCTTCTTAAAACAATGTTTTTACTTCACATTTCCAGGAGTCGATGACATTGCCTCAGAGTGTGATTTGGATGATGTTTTAGAGTGGAATTGGAGCATCATTAATAATGGGGATGAAAGTGAAGTGGACAGATGCCTGAAGCTCTTCATTGATGACATTGAAAGTGTTTTGTAGTCCTTTGTGCTTGTATATTTGACTGGACAAAATTTCTCAGGCAGGGTGGCCACGCAGCCAAAGTTTTCAAAATCCCTGACTTTAAGTGGAACTTTTTGCCTCCCAAAGAATTGAAAATGCCACCAAAAATATGAATACAACAATTTGGGGCAAGATTCAGTCATTTTCCTTGACTAATATTTTTTTCCCCTGACTTCCAGGTTGCATGAATGACTCTGTCAGGCTACAATTATTGTAGGTGGTGGGCCAAAACTTATCATATTTAAAGTTGAGTGGTAAAAGGAGTTGCATGGTACCATGAAACCACACTTAGTGATACTTTCAAAGTGGTGAACATTTAAGAGATACACAATTTGTACTTGTAGTAATTTATTTTTTCGATGTGAGATGATTAAATAACATGTGAAATATTAAGAGCGTTGAATAAGAGATCCATCCAGCTATAAATTCCAGTAAAACTAGCATGCTAAAGTTACATAGAAAATCATACCCAAGGACTACTACACACATTATACAAATGTCTTATTTACGGGCACACTTGAAGTATGCCAAAGCACTGACTAATTAACACGAAATGCTTCAAATGAAGACTTAAAAATGATCACTATTACTAGATGAAATTTAAAGTGCATACTCATTATGCATAAAGTTTTGTTTTGTTGAGGTGCATCTGATCTTAAAACATTAATTGTATGTTTGCTTAAGGATTAAGAAATTAACATGTTTCATTTGGGTGAGTAGGTAAATAGTTTCATAAATATATCTATATCTGTACATAATATAAGGGATAGATTTTTGAAAGAAAATGTTACGAAAAATAACAATTATTACAAATATTGCAATAATTTACACAAGAGATCGATTCAAATGGGATCAAGTGAAATAAAATTGTTCAGCTTTAGAAGATACATCACTTTATAAAATCGTTGGATATCTGCAACACATTACGCTTCTTTCTTCAAGGAAACAGCCCATCATGCTAAAACAGACCAATACCGCGTAAAAAATTATTAATGGGGTTTGCCACTGAGTAGTCACATCTTCCACCAGTCAGACAAAGAGCATGAGGCAGGAAATTAAAATGGACTTGCACTTGCAGATAAAAAAAAAAAGTAGTTTATTTGTAAGAACAACACTAAAGCCAACAGAGCTATTAAAAATGTAACTTCCAATGGTGCAAAAAAAAAGAAAAAAAAAAGAAAGAATTTGTAATACATTTTAAGAATTTACAAAATAGTTATTGAACTGAAGCTTTGAAATTAGATCTTTGCTTCCAGCACTTTCTTCAACAGTAGATTAGTTACATTAATCTATTTTTCAACAAGGGGGAAAGGGTTCCAGTAGCTGCCACCAACACAAGAGTCTAAAACAAAAACAAACAGCTGGTTGTCAAACAAAGCAGAGGCTTCTAGACCAGAAAAACACGTGAGAAAAGTGGATGTGAGGATGTGTAAAGAATAAAGCCCAGTAAATTTATTTTTTAAAAATAAGAGGCATCCTTGTGAAGGTGCAGCTACCTAATCCTAAAAAGCTGATTTCCTAACAATATTAATCAATTTTAGTAATGTTCTCTCCACAAAAAAATCCAAAGATAAGGGAAGTTTTGCAACTAATAAAATTGCAGATTGATATAATCTCAGTTTGACTTATGTGGCTTAGAACTTGAAGAAGCATATTGTAATTCAAAATAAAAGAAAACAATGCACATAAAACTTCACAAAGCTATAAAAACATCATAGAATGCGAAACAGGTAAGACTTGTGCAAAACGTTTCTTCCAAATATTTTAGCACAAACCTGATCAAGGGAAGCTATTTATGTGTTACATGACTGAAACAATTGACATGTTCTGATCTATGGGAAAGAAAAACAGACGATTGGGGCAGGGCTGAGAAATAATGGGACAGAGCAGTGTTTTTAATGATGTGGGTGAAAACCCAAATTTTAGTCTGAATCCATTAAAAACAGCTTCTAGGCCATTCTTGCCCGACTGAAAAATCTTAAGCAGGGGTAGGCGCTGATGGCCCCATATAGGACTACACGTACTGGGATATCAGCAGGGTAGGCCCACTTTCGGTTTAGCCTGACAAGCCACATAAATGTCCAACTAATCTTGTCAACGTATAATTTACTGATGAATCCACAAGAGCAGGTTAAGTCAAAGAAGACAGTATTTACATCCTATTTACCTACTAGAAACATACATGTTACAAACCCAACCTCCTGCTGTTTTCTTCTGTGCCAAAATCTGTCAAACTCATAACTTACCAGATCTGTCATCACGTGAGTAGCTCCTATCCCGCCTACGGGGGCTTCGGCTTCGACTGCGGCTACGACTACGAGGACTGCGACTGCGAGATCGTCCACCTCCACCTCGACCCCGCCCTCCTCTCCACCGGTTGCGATCTGAGAAACCAGTGGTACATGAGATTTCCAGCAAGCAAATTTAAAATAAGAAAACTAGGAGAGATAAAAAAAAACTTACTTCTACCACCGCCAAAGCCTCTCGACATGTCTGACATCTCCAGAAGCTTAGGGTTGATAACCTGATTAGCTTCCTTCAGAACAGCAACCAAATCAGCAGCTTGCTTGGCATTTGACATAGTGAAAAAGGTGTATGCCGTGCCAGTGCGTTGTGAACGCCCAGTTCTTCCAATGCGATGAACATAATCTTCAGAGGAGGATGGGTAGTCAAAATTGATGACAAACTTCACATCTTCAACATCTGGAAGCACAAACCCAAAATTAGTACCACTCAAGCCACTAGATAGATATTCATTGACATCAGAAGGCCAGATGTATTTAGCTGACTACTGTTAGGAATCACGAAATGAAAACAATGACGAAGGGAACAGGACATTCAGGAATAGGAAAGGAGACTGCCAATTAAAAATCAACATTGCAATAGCTCCATAGCACAAGTGTAAAATACTATATTGACAAAAAATTAATTGGGTCACCAGCAAATCTTTAGAAAAAAAAAGAAAAATTCTGTGGACTGCTAAGTTGACTCAAGAAAAAAAGAGCATTGTATGTGTATTTAAAAAAAAAAAAAAAAAAAAAAAAACAATATTGTTCTATCACTATTTAATCAATAATGAGGGCGCACAGCTCTCAGTCAAAATGTTATAGAATAGCAGTTCATTCTAAAACAAAAACTAAAAAACTTAAATCAAAGTTCTTTTCGAAATTAATATTTCTCTCAGTTGGAAATGTATTCAATGCTATTGAATAACTAATGCAATGCATTTGCCATCATCTCAACACGAAGTGACTCCTGAAATAGTGTTTCCGAAACAAGGAAGGATTATGAACTAGTAGCATCATGCAGTTTCAGTCACAGGAAAACCACTTCTCCTGGAAACCTCACAGCTAAACTAAAACTGATACAGCACAGCCCCGCATGGACAATGTTGCAAAAACAACAATTGGCTGTGTAGACTGCCTTTGAATTGTTACTCAAAGAGTAATGAAACTGAACAAAAATATAAGAGTACGTAAGAGAGCAATAAAGAATGGGCAGTTCATGAACTATAGAAATTACTTGTACTGTAAAATCCACAACTGCTCCGGAAGCTGTGCCATACCAACACCGTACTTAGCTACACCACTGTGGAAGAAGAATCATTACCTGTGGCCTAACCACTTGGTATGGCCACACAAGTCTAGGAATTCTAGTCGCCCGTGCCGTGCCGAGCCTTCCGCAAAGCGAGGTGCACGGGGTGGTAACTGGGCGCGTGGAGGGGGGGGCGGAGGGGAACGGCACGGCCTCCAAGGCACCGTCCCCCTCCCTCCCCTCCGGGCCCTCCGGGCACGGGCACGGCCTTCACAGCCACCCGCATAAGCCAGGCCTAGGCCAGGCACGCGCCGAACCGAGCTGCGCCGCGCTGCGCCGAGCCGCGCCGCGCCGATCCGAACCGAGGAGCCTCGCGTCAGCCCGAGGGTAGCATGAAGGCGACCCGCCGGCTCATGTCAGGCCAGGAGTGACTCGGAGTGGCCAGAGAGCGACCCGAGGACGGCCTGAGGGTTGTTCGAGGCGGCCGGTGGGCGGCTCGGAGCAGCCTGGGGGTGGCCTCACGGCAACCCGAGGGCGGCCCAAGGGTGGCTCGGGGTGGCCTGAGAACGGCACGAGGGCGGCTCGAGGGCGGCTCGAGGGCGGCCGAGGACAGCCCGAGTGGCCATGCCGGGGGTATGGCCTTAAGATCTGGCGCGCAGGTCGCCACAACACACTACGTCACGTCAGAGCAGAGCCTTCGCAGGCCTCGACAGGCCTTGCCTCAGCCCGGAGCCCTGACTGTGACCGAGGCCCGGTAGGCCCGCGGAGCGTGAGGCCATTGGAGCAAGAGGACCATGGTGCCCCCGCTCAGAGAGGCACAGCGCTCAGCAACTATGCCGTTATTCGGCATCGTTACAGGTCTTGCTAGTGCCTCTGCAAGAAAAAAACAAAAGAGGCGCTTAATCAACAGTGAAGAGGGGATGCACCTTCAGTCAGCCCTTTACCAACACAAGAAAGGACTGTCTTACGTCAACCTAGCCTACCGCTCAAAAGACCTTGACAGCTGTACAAAAGAAACCTAAAATTCACACATGAGCACACAAAAACAAATAAAAAAAGTACTTTATATTGAGAATTTAACACGTGACTGTTCTTTTTCAAGATAGTTAAAAGTTATTTCTAAAAAATTGAATCTAATTAGTGTTTAGGTTGGTGGAGCTTACATTTATAGTCAATATGTTTTAAAAGGATGGGAGTAGTATAAGATCCCATCCCTGTGTTAAATACAGTAATAAATCACACATTGTCAGAAAGTAACAGATATTTTATAATAGAGAGAAAAGGGTAGAATTGTATGCAAAACCATATGTGTGAAATGTCAATTTAAGACAAGGCTTTTCTAGTTATAACTTACCAAGTCCTCTGGCAGCAACATCAGTGGCGACCAAAATTGGAGATTTGCCTGATCTAAAATCTATAATTTTATAAACAATACAAAAATAAGTATAAATATATTTAGAGAACATTTAAAGCAAAATTGATGGAGAAAGCACCAACCTTGGAGTACCCAATCTCTCTCTTGTTGAGTTTTATCACCATGAATGCATGATGCTGGCCACCTAAACAACCACATAAATTATTAAACAACTGTATCATACAGCTGCATACTACTAAGAATTTTTAGCTCCAAATCCATGCTCTTACCCATCACGCTTCATTTTGCGAGTTATTTCATCAACTCTACGCTTGGTTTCAATGAATACAATGCTTTTGTTTTCCTTCTCTGCCATAATTTCTTTCAGGAGAGTGCTCAACCTATGAAAAACCAAGGCAGATTCTTTGTAACAATACAAAAATTCTAATCGTCAGCAGAGATGGATTGAGATTAACTTACTTGCTTTCCTTCTCATATTCCTGGCAGACATCAACAATCTGAAGGATATTGTGGTTGGCAGAAAGTTGGAGAGATCCCACATTCAGCTGTGTATAATCTCTGAGGAACTCTTCTGCAAGATTACGCACTTCTTTGGGCCATGTAGCAGACCACATCAAGGTTTGACGATCAGGCTACAAGCAAAACAATAAATAATTAAAGTTAGATAGGATTAAATAACAAAGCTTTCCATAATATTTAACAAATACGTACCCTAATTTGATCAATTATTTTACGGATTTGCGGTTCAAAACCCATGTCTAACATACGGTCAGCTTCATCCAAAACAAGGTAAGTGCAACGTCTTAAATTGGTGCGGCCACTCTCTAAGAAGTCAATGAGACGACCAGGTGTTGCAATCACAATCTCAACACCTCTTTCAAGATCACGAGCCTAACAAGAGAAAAAAATAATTAATGGGAGTAATTTAAAACAGTCAAAATCTTTCACCAGTCGTTTTTAAATACCTGAGGTGCTTTAGGAGCTCCACCAAAAATACATGTATTTCTAATTTGAGATGACCTTCCAAAGTCATCTGCTACCTGTTGAATCTGTTGTGCCAATTCACGTGTTGGAGCCAAAATGAGGGCTATGGGGCCATCTCCTCTTTGTAGACGTGGCTGATTGTTAATGTGAACAATGGCTGGAAGAGTATACTGCAAAAGTGGGGAGGTGAGAGTTTAGATAATGAGTTTAGATCAGCAATTAAAAAATTTCTAGCTTCAGAGAGATATTCTTTAATACTGACTGATAGTGTCTTTCCTGATCCAGTCATGGCAATGCCCACCATGTCCCTTCCACTAAGGGCAATTGGCCAGCCTTGAGCTTGAATGGGCGTTGGATCCTTAAATCCTGCTCGCCTGGAATTTAAAACAAGAATAAATAAGTAATGAACTTAGATGTATACACATTGTAAGACACATTAGCTTCTGAACACATAGAGAACAATAGCAACAGCTAGAAAACATCTATAGAAAGATTGTTTCCAGAGAATGTTTTACAAGATCATCTTAATGACAGGTTCACAGCAACATTTAAAATCAGCAAGTGGGGCAGACAAGTTGATACTAACCTTACTTCTCGCAAGACATAGTCAGGAAAGCTCGACTCTTCGAAGGAAAGGATGGGACTGGGTACATTGCGGCCTTTCAGAGTAATTTCCTTGGCCTTGCGGTACTCTTCAACTTCATGTTGTGGCCTAGAATATTGTCAGAACATCTCATTACAAGTGGTAATCAAAATTAAAAACCATGAGACAACGCAAATTGTTTTTTTCTTACCGACTCGAAGTTTCAGGGTGGGGAACATAAAAGTCTTTCTTGAAAGGTTCCAAACGGCTTGTATCCCACCTGGGCTTACGCAAGTTGCTACCAGGTTGTCCTCCTCTGCCACCACGGCCCCCTCCTCCACCACCACGTCCAAAGTCTCTATCCCTGAAGCGATCACGACTGCGGCTGCGTGACCTGCTGCGCCTCCTGCGGTCCCTACTGCGACTTCTGCTTCTGCGACGGTCTCTGTCTCTGTCTCGTGACCTGAAAATAAAATTCAAACAATTGAGAAAATTCTCTGCAGCTGTTAAGGCTGTAAGCAAAAGAAAAATATTTGAAAAAGAATGTATTCCTTAAGTGGACAAAGATTTTTACAGAATAACATCTGTTATGTAGTAACAATGGGCAAGAGTGTTGCCCAGTCAATACGCTACACCATGAACAGAATACATCACAACACTCAATGGACTGTACATACATATTGTAACAAGCACATAAATTCGGCAAATAACTCTCAGTTAAGTCTGATCTGTCTAAAAGAAAATATAACAGGGGGCTTAAGTCTCTAGAGTTCAAGCACAATTGATACATTAACCCTACTTTGACATAAGAGCATTGTAGAATTGGCAGCTTGTACAAAGTTACAAATTTAATAATTACATTTCTAAATTTTGAGAAAGTTTGAACCTACGAGTACAATAATTAGGCTTATTTTTATTGTATTAGTTGGAAACGGAGAAAACAAACGGCTTGGTACGTCACTTTGAGGTAAGTAGGCACTAGATATGATTTAGGATATTATGAAGGTGAAAAGATCATGTGCGTGAAAAAATATTATGGAGAGAATAAGACTTACCCTCGCCTATCGTATCGCCCCATTTCGTTGTTTGCGAAAAACACAGAAAAGTTAGCAGATTGCTACGACGCACTACGAATTTTCAGCCCAAGACGCAAAATGGCGACCTAGATGACGAAAGCATCAGATTTGGTCTGGTAGGAACTACTTTCGCTTTCGTCCTCTTTCGTACATTCTCGAAATTCTAATTCATCCGCCTATCCGTTTCCGACAGCTTTACCCAGCGCGCACTTAGTTTGAACGCTCTGTCGCTCTTCTCAAGGCTCATCCTTGCTCATCCTTGAGAAAAGGCTCATCAGGCTAATTTTGGGGGTTTGATAGGGGTCCAAGTAGACAGCAGGGGTTGGGCACGGACTAAATCGGAGTAAAACAGCCTAAGTGCCAAACCCCTGCTATCCCTTTGGGCCCCTACCAAACCCCCAAAATGACCCTGATGAGCGATAAGCGATTGCATGCATAATGCTGTTCAATGTTGTCCGATACCAAAGTATAATAATAACAACAAACAATATTTTTTCTTAGGGTTTATTTTATTACATCAATGCAGGACATACAGTACATGAGCAACAGCAGTTATTTGGCAAAACAAAAATGTTTTCCTGAGGGAGAAGCACCTGAGAGGAAAACTTAAAATAGGAAGAGCAACCTATCATATTAACAAAGTTTTTTTTACTGTTCAACATTCAAGATAGAGAGCAAAATTTTTCCTTTCACAAATATAGGATAGGCTTAACTGAATTCACAACATTCAGAGCAAAAAAGATATTACAACACATCTTAACAAAAGGAGTATATCCCATTAGTGGCAACGCTACAATTATAATCACTCCAATTGATTAAATTTCCTGCCAACTCAAAACACCTGCAAAGTAAAAATACAAATCTTTAACTTTTCTTCTTATTCTTTTTTATTTTTATAATCACCATAATTTTTGTAGAAAACATACATTTTCAAAGGAAGGAATTCTTTCATCTTTCATGTATGGGAATACTAATCACCAAAGCTAACTAAGTTCATACATTTTCAAAGTACATTCAGAAGTAGAAATTTAAATCAAAACAGCGCAATTTAATAGATAGATAAACATTTTGGTAAAATACTTGTACAATTATACATCAAAAGTAAATAGCCTAATAACAACCTATTTATTTTTCAATACTCAAAATTTCTAATTGTGTTCTGAATGTGGTTGATATTTTAGGAAACGTTATTTGAAAACTGAAATTATGGTGTATTTAGTTTAAAGTTTCGATAGGAATTCACAGTATGAGCCAACTCGCCACTTTAAGCGAGAGCTTTCTCTCATCACCAGATCAAGCATTAATGGTAGTAAGATAAAATACTTTTCAAATCAATCCTTCAATGCTTATGTTGTATAAACGAAGAATGACAATGAAGACATCATGCACATTAAGAACACAAACCAATGAGAAGTTCAGGTATCCTGCTAGCCAGGGATTAAACTTACATCACTTATTTTATACAACTAATGTTAGATATTAAACAGATATTTCAGGCACAAAAGTTATTTTTACTTTTCAAAGTTCTTACCACTTAATACTTAGCAGTCTATTTCAGATGCTACTTGCTGTTCATTTTATTGTATTTTCCAATTCCACCCGCCGTCGAGGGTGAAGGTCCGACATTTGCTGTAACACCTAGGACCAAGGTAGAACTACTTCAAAATGTCCGAAATATAACAACAAAACTTGTTGAGGAGGAGCACTAAAACCAAATTAAGTCTTGCTATAGATATTCAATCAAAATTGAAAAACATGATAGACATCATAGAACATCTAGAACTGTAGTTGTAAAAAACTAGGTTTCACTTCTTTTTAACTTTGACTGTCCATTTATTGCAGCTTCGTTAATTTTAACCTGAAAGTGTGCTTGTAGGAGATCCTGGGGAGTATGGTTCATCCTTTCTGCTGACTTTCTTTTTTTGTATATTGCTAGAATCACCATATTGAGAGCTCAAGGCAGCAAATGGTGTCAAAGTGGAAGTCCATTGGCCAGGACTAGCTGCAGGTTGAGCTCCTAGAGCAAGATTTGAATCAGACAAATCTGGTTGATCATTCCCAAAATTTTTAAAGTCAAAAGTTTTATTACTTTCATTAGTGCTTTGAGCCCCGTCAAAGCTATCAATAGGAAGAGGGTAAAAATGAACCTCAGGGTTGTCAGAGAAATACTGAGCCTGTTTCTTCAAAAAGTTTAAACATTTTTCATTATATTTCATGATTGTTTCACTATTATTAAGTGTCTTCACTGAATTTGTAGATGTATCTTTTAAGTTTATTCCGTCATACTTTATAATTGGCTTCATGTCATGCATAGGAACAGAAGTCACAGTTGGTTTACCGATGATAGGAGCAATAATTTTTTTATTACTATTTGATTCAAGAGGATCCTTATTGAGATTTTTTTTTCTAAATCTTGGATCTTGTGACACAGGTTTTTTTTCAGGGGAGTATAAGAAAATATCTCCTTCAGTAACAACTCTTTGAAGAGCATCTTCATCTTCCCTTGTTAGAGTTGAAGCGACAATATTTTCAAAACATTCTGGGTCTGTGTATATTTTTATATTATTTTGCTCTTTTGCAAAACAATCAGCATGCATTCTACTGTTATGTTTTGTCACTCCATGACTAGAAGACATCCTAGAATTATAAGATTTCATCCAAGTGCGTTCTTGATACATTTTAATGCCATTTTTTGTTATTTTGGGACATTTATATTGACCATCTCTATAACTGTGTCTGTTGAAAGATTTATCACAATACCTGCAAATACTACCCTCAATGGATGATGATGGAATAGACTCAAAGGAGACTAAACAAGGATGATTAACAGGGGGCATTGGGAAAGAATCAGACTCGCTACATCTCCTTTTGCGATTGCGTTGTTTAGGATTTCTAATCTCAAATGAAGGAGAATGCTGAGAAAAATGGGAAGGTGGACGATGTTTGAAACAAACATCACAATTTTGTGAGTGCAATAGTTTCCTATCCTTTAGGCCTGCATGTAGCTTCTGTAATACTGATGAATACTGACATTTATGGGACTGTTGATTTCTGTTGTAGATATTACTTTTATCTAATTTTAGAGGATAATCAATGATGTGAGAGGGTGTGTGAACAAAATTGTTCTTTGACATGAGGGAAACATATTGAGGACTATGATTTATTTCAGCTGCTTCAGCATCTTTTAAAGGATTGCGATCGATGTACTGTTGGATACTTAGAGTTTTAAGTAGTTTATGATTTTTCCTGACTCCATGGCTATGTCGAGGTTTTTTAGAAGGGGGACTGCTGCTTCTTCCTCGGTACTTAGGGTGAGATGGGTTTGAATTGGAGTAATAAGCATCAAGCATGCGTTTTTTAAGTTGAAGATGGCAGGCCTCATCATCTGAAGACTCATGACCAAAGTTTTGAACATCTTGCAAATTTTCAATTTTGTTAGACAAGTTGTGATCACTGATTGTATGTGCACTGGTCAAATCATCACAGTTTTGAATTGATTTGATTGATGAAATGGACAAATTAATCTCTGGACTTGATTCTACTTTCAAATAATGAGGATTATCTTGATATTCATTGTGAAGAATCTCGTTTGACGTAAAATGAGTCAATGGAATCTGAACACCCAGTTTATTATAAGTAGAAGCATCCTCGAGCACTTTCAATTCACTTAAATCAGAACCAATTTGAATAAGGTTTAATGGTTTGTTTTCACACATAAATTCTAGTGATGTGCTGCTATTTGATTTTTCATACGTATTCTGGATCAGAAGACTCTTGTGAGATGGTGCTTCTCCATGTATCATCTCAAGTTCTCGTTCCAATTCTTGTTCGAGATCCATATCCTGTGATGCTTGCTGCCTTTTGGGAGAGAAAAACTGCTCCTTGTCCACTTTCAATTGGGTGGCTTCATCGATAGAATAACACTCTGTTTCTGATTTTGGACGTACCTCTGCAGAATTTAAACTTTGAGATTCATTTGGCAGTCTCCTATTAATAACAACTTGTAATGACAGCTGTGATCGGCCATCTCGCATTGGCACATCATAAAAGAGGAACAGGTTGTCATCAGATCTAGTAATATTCCCTTGAGCTAGTACAGATCGCACACCCTTCACCTGCCTAAATCCCATGCAATTTTTAAATTCACCGATTCCTTTAAAATTCACATTTAAATACTTTCGAACTGCCTCATAAACATTTGCATCACCTTTCTCACACATAACTTTCAGTAGGTCTTCTTGCTCAGAATCTGAAAATATTTTTCTCATACAACCAAATTTTTGTTTTACTGAGATTCCATGTCTTATAAAATTTTCTGCAAGTTTTTCACATGTATCCAATAATGAAAGTGCCTCTGAAGAAGAATTTAGAACAGTTGCGATATCTAAACAGATAGGTGCCATAGGTTCAACTCCTCCTATTAGTTGGTTTTTCTTTTGGTTGGAACTGTAAGCAAGGGTCTTTTGGGGTTTTGAAATCGGTTCTGAAGAATATTCAATCACCTCATTGACAAGAAAAGGGTAACCATGAATCCCAAGCTTCTCAAGAATTATTTGAATAGGTTCTTGTCCAACATTTTCATATCCATTGTCCCTTTTCAAAAGCAACAGGGTGTTTTTCTTGTCATTGTTAGACAGGTCATCTATTTCTTTTACCAAAAAACCCTTCTCACTAGAAATTACATCAAGTTTGTTTCTAGATTTCTTGTTAGCTTTTGCATTTTGCTCTTTAATCAACAAAATTTTAATTTTTTCATCTGGCATTATATATTTTACTGTATATGGTTCATCTCTTACATGAGGTGAATTTCCAAGGCAGTTCATAATTGGCTTGATTTCAAAAATTCCATACTTGCTTTTGCTGACAAAACTTTCATTGTCAGAGTCTACCTGCTCAAAAAATAATTTTAGGTCAGAATAAACCCAAGTTGGTTTGACACTGAATAAATTCTTGTTGAACTTCTTTGCACTCTGAGCTCTCCTGATAGATATGGGTTTTACAACGTACATTCCTATTTTTGTGTCTGATATCCCTCTTACTTTTTCCTTTTTGTTATTACCATAATCCTGTTCGCCTATTCTTGACTGATCCTGGTTGCAGTTAGTTTGTTCGAAGACAATTCCCTCTTCAACAATATTTTCAATTTGAAAATAAGTCATTGAAGCTTGTAAAATTTCAATTAAGGTTTCCTCCCATTCCATTTCTGAGCATGTACCACAAATTTGCTGTTTTAAAAGAAAAATTGGAATACTACATCCATTTTTGGCATGAAGTATTTCTGGTAGTTTCATTTTCTTCAATTTCGACTTTTTTAACATACTTGGCGAATTGCCACAAATTTTCAAGGGTCTAAAAGTATCATTTTGACCTTTCCTGAAATATAGAAAGTTGTTTTTTATAAGAATTTGTCTACTTCCATGAAAATGCTTATCTGGTAGAACTGAACAAATCTTGTAGGGCAAGTTTTCTGGTTTCACTGGTCCAAAAAGTAATGGTATAGACTTTTCTGCAAGACATAATTTTTCATCCTTGGCAGGTTTGGCTTTCTGTTCCACCAAAAAATGGGATAGATTTGAAATCATGGTGAAATAGGTTAGACAACTTTTCAGACCACTGAAAAATATATGGAAGTGTGTACAAATATTTAAAAACAAAAAGTATACATCAATTGAGATTTGGAAAGTGTAGAAGGGAAATACCAAAACTGAAAGGAAGCTAGAACACTTCTCCATGTTTCCTTTTTTATGGATATAATACTGAATGGGTTCACAGTTCTGAGAAATGTTAAAACTATCCAGTTCATAAAATGGTCTGAACTTTTGACTTTTAGTCAGTGCAAAATTACGAAATTTTTTCAAACCATTCCAATTGATTATTGTGCCTTGGAGAGGAAATACCATATTTTTCCTTTTCTCTAGAATATTAGAGGATTCCACACTTTTTACTTCTGCATTATTATCATTATTATTATTATTACAATCCATGAACACAGCACAGGGGTCCCCAATTATGATGGAATTATCAGGAGCCTCATTGTCACTTCTAATCAAAGAACCTGTATGTCTTATGACACTGACATAGTTGGCTTTCTCTGCTGAACCACGGACAAGTAAATTTTGAGGTATGGCTGTGGGTGTCAACATAATTTCTTGTGAGGTATTAAATACCTCTTCAATAATCTCAACCGAATCTTCATCAACAACTTCAGTGATACCACCATACTTTAAATGTAGGTCTTGTCTGTTCCGATCTGTAGTAAGATTACTATTATCCCCAAATTTTGCATTTTTGGCATTTTGAGAAAAATTATCATTTGTATCTTCTCCTTCCATTGTATTCAGATTATAGTTGAAATTTTGTTGAATCTCTGTGTTTACATTGGGATCAATTAACTCAGTATCACAGCTATTCAACACAGAGTTCATAGGAGCTGGACATTGCTCTGGATTGGAGGAAGACAATCTTTCTCCACTAGATTGATTGTCATAATAGTGAAATTGATCCGAGTTACTGAATTGCCTTGCTCTTACTACAGTTGGACCACTCTGTTCTCTCAGAAGACCTCTGGACTCTAAAATTTTGTTCTCGACAAGCTGGGGCTCATGTCCATAGAACTTGTCATTAGATCTCTGGTGATCTATATCAGAAAACATTTGGAATCTTCTTTGAAAACTTTGATAAGCGGCAAGGCCCTCATAAGGAAAATTAGTTGCTGGTCCATAGTAATCTGCAAGTCTCTCATTGACTCGGGGATGATACACCAAAGATCTGTTAGGATAATTTAAGGGAACCTGAGATGGCACACTCTGAGGAGGCCTAGTAAGGCTCCAAGGTAAAGTGTTTCTCATGGCTGGCTGCCATCTACCAGGGGAACAAAAATCACTATCATAACCAGTTGGCAAATTTTCACTGACAGAAGGGTGGAAAGTTTGATTCCAGTGCTGATGCATGTTATCTTCAGGAGAACTTTAGTTTAAATGAAGCTTTACCTCAAATAAGCTTGAGGGGGTGGTGAGAATTATGCATTAAAATCATTCTTGTTTTCTTGAGATGCTAAGTACTCCATTTGATTGCGAATGACTTCACGTAACACCTAGAGAAAAAAGATAAGAGAGGATAAAATACAAGTTTATGTCTAAATTGCACTGTTGAAATCAAACTGTCTCATACTGGGTACCGCATACCACATACCTCTGTGTGAGTTTTCCGAGATGTGTGGACTTTTTTATGATTTACGCGGCGACGCTTTGCGTCTCTCTGTTCAGCGAGCAGCTCCAGCTTGGTTTTTGGGCGAGAATGCTTGCTTCCTTCACCAAACCTAGACACAAACCAATATT